TTTATGGGTTGTCATTGGATGTTGCGTCCCAGCATGAAGAAATCAGAGTTCTGGAAAGTGGGTAAATATATTAGCACCCACAGATGTGAAATGGACACATTCAATGAGAATCGCTTCAACTTCGATATAGAGTTGATTTCTCTTGTCTTGATTCCATACTTGTAAGTGTCCATTAGGTTCAAGATTAAAGAGTGTATTACAGCCGTCCACCAGGATTATGGGTGTACTATAACCAAAAGAAAGGCATTTCTCGGGCGCAAACGTGCCTTTAAAATTATTTATGGTGACTGGGATAAGTCATTTTCATCTCTACCCAGGTACATGGCCGCACTGTAACACTTTAACCCCGGGACTATTGTTGAATAGAGGCGTGAGTGGAGTCCGGACAGACCCCTAATATATTTTCAACTATGTGTTCTGGTCATTTAAACCAGCAATTGATGGTTTTGTGCATTGTCGTCTGGTAATTTTCATAGACGATACTCATGTCTATGGAAAGTATGATATTAAGCTTATGATCGCAGTTGCAGTAGATGCCAACGGACAAATATTTCCACTAGCTTTTGCCATTTGTGCCAATGAAAGCGAAGAGACATGGACGTTATTTTTTGAACCACTTGAAGCAACACGTTGTCAAACAGCGTTCAGGTATTTGTCTAATATCTGATCGGCATGGTGTTCTGTACGACATTTGCCTGAATGGCAGGAACCTTATACATACCACTGTTACTGTGTGAGGCACCTGAAGGCCAATTTCTAGAAGAAATATCACGACAAGGCCTTGCATGATTTAATATGGATGGCTGCAACTGAGCACCAACAGTGCAAATTCACGAGGTGCATGGAAGCGATCTGGCAGTTAGATCCACAAGCCTATACTTGGCTGATGGGCCATGAGCTTCAAATGTGGACGTTGCATGCTGATGGCGGCAGACGATGGGAAACCCTGACTACAAATGTGTCGGAGTCATTCAAGGGCTTATTGAAGTCTGCACGTGGATTGCCTGTCACTGCCATGGTCCGGATGACATTCAAACAGATTACAGAGAGATTTGTTGAAATGCATAGAGCTGCATCGGTATTGATGGACAGGAGTGTTCAATTTATGCCAATACCGATGAGAAGATTTGAGAAGTACATGAGGCGAGCACATTGGCATTTATTTATACAGTACGATCACGACCGGGGTGTTTTTGAAGTTTGCACCACTATCCGCAAACACCAAGGGAATAATCTACAGATGGTGAATGAAGCCAGCAGGTTGTGTTCATGTGGGAAATGGACCATCTACCACATATCGTGCGCATATGCCTTGAAGTGCTTTCAACAAGTTGGTTTAGGGGCAACCAACTATGTTGATAGGCAATACAGTGTTGCTGCATACGTAGACACATATAGTGGGCAGTTACAGCCATTGGGTGCTGAGCATTATTGGCCGCCAAAACCATTTAAAATGGTGTGTAACAAGGACTATTTGTGCAAGCTGCAAATGCAAAAGAGAACGCGTATAAGGAACCAAATGGATGTTGGTGATACCGTTTATGTGCGTAAATGTGGCATATGCTCGCAAACAGGATACGACTGTCGTAAATATCCTTCAGCTGGTGTGGGTGGCAGTGGTAATCTAACTCCTGGTGCAAGTTTGTTGAATATACCCAACTATCAAGGATACACCTAGTGTTTTGTTTTCGTAATGTTTTTTGTAATAAGTGTCTGTACTTGTGTATGTTGCAATATCTATCAAATAAAATTATGTTCCACAATTTTGTTACATCTTATTTTTTAACATGACCTTTTGAATTGGGATGATGATATGATAGTCCAACATTCAACTTATTGGTGTTAGTAAAGAAGACCAATCTGAAGATTGAAATTTCATAACATCATATTCGAAGAGATAAAAGCGCAACAACCATAACTAAAGCAACATACATAAAAATAAAAGATAATAAAGTAAAAATCAAGACATTGTTGTTTCGTTTCAGAAAAATTGAATATGTATAGCATGGTAAAATACTACGTTTTGTGTGTTGTCTTGTTGGTCTGAAAAGTTGACCGACTGCGCAAAAGTTATTTTGTTTCAGAAAAATTGAATATGTAGAGTGCGGTACAATACTACATTTTGTGTGTTGTATTGTAGCAAAAAAAAAAGCTGAACCGACTGTACAAAAGCTGTTTCATTTCAGAAAAATTAAATATGTATAGCGTGGTACAATACTACATTTTGTGTGTTGTCTTGTCGCAAAAAAAATCTGAACCGACTGCGCAAAAGCTATGTCATTTCAGAAAAATTGAATATGTATAGCGCGATACAATACTATGTTTTGTGTGTTGTCTTGTCGGTCTGAAAAGCTGACCAACTGCGCAAAAGTTGTTTCATTTCAGAAAAAATGAATATGTATAGTGCCGTACAATACTACGTTTTGTGTGAAATCTTGCCTATAAATAACGGGTGCATTGTAGTTATTTTCTGTGCTTAATAATAACCAAAAGCAAATATTTCCATAAAAGCAAGGTTTTTTTACGTTTTAATAAATGTCTCAACCCTTTTATGTCCCAAGGTGCGAGTGCGGCAAAAAATGCATGATGCACGATTGTTGGGAAGAAGCTGGACGCCGCTACTGGGCATGTATGAACAAGTTTTATAGGGTTCCCGACAAACCTGTTTGCAATTTTGAGGTATGAATTGATGAACCTTATCGGCAGGAATACTACAAAGACAAGTTGTATTTCTTCATAGTTTGTGTTTGAAGTAGTGGGAAAGAGAGCGACAATTCAAACGAGAAATTGCGGAGTTGAAGGAGAAATTCAAGGAGGTGGAAGAAGAAAAACATAAGTTGGAAGACAAATTTAAGTGGTTGGAGCAGAGAATACTAGGCGGTCGCGACTAAACAATGACATATACGTGTTGAGCGTAGTGGTGTATCTTTATGTTTCATGTGCATGTGTTTTTATTAGTTGTACTGAATTATGTTATGTTAGGTTTGCTATGTTTGTGTTTGTGTTATAGTGTTAAAATAAAATTGTTGTTCAAATTGTGTTAAAATAAAATTCTTGCCATGATTTACATAAAATACAAAAAAAAAAAAAATCAATGAGTTCCACAACTTGTGTGCTTCAATGCAGCCGCTGGCCTGAGGCGCATCCTCTGTCGTCCAGGTACACTATCAGGATCATCCTCATCACGTTGCCTTTTTATGTGAGGATGCGCAACAGCATGATCGTCAATAGAGCTGGCAAGATCGGTAGAAGGGGTTGTCGGTCCGTCAGCAACCTACAAAAAAATTACTAACCTTAGTATATGAAAATGTATATTAGTAATGTACGTGTTAAGTCAAAAACATTTTCTTACCATGGTCTCATTAGGCACCTGAATATAAGCATCCGTGGTATCCTCATTATCGCATAAAGTGGGCTCCGTGATGGGCTAGGACGAAGCCTTAATAAGAAAATTAAAAATTAATTTATGGCAAACCATTAAAATACAAATTAAAATTTAATAGTAATACAAACATATCTGCGCCTGTGATAGATCTGCATCAACCGCCGGGGATGAGCCAAAACTCAAACTGCGCCCACCATCCACGTCTCAGGTCAGCCAGTCCTCAGCTATGGTAGATGGTCCTAAAAAACTGCTCTACATCTTCATCGAATGTAACCGTGATCAACAATGGATCTGACGGGGTGACCTGTAATGCTGACAGCTCCAGCTGAAGGCTGTACGACGGTATGCTACTGGAAGGCTCGTCTAGCTGAGGGATGTAACCCGGCTGATCATCTCCAATATCCTCATCAGGTGCCTCCACGCCGTCCCCCACGACCCCGTTGGGCACCCCTACCTCGTGGGGCAACCCTGGATCGTACCTGACCCCTGCCTCGTGCGACAGTCCTACCCAGATGGTGATGCTCTAGAGCCACATACTCAACACCATGATCTAACCTCTCATCCTCTCTGACTCGCTGGAGTGTCCGGAGAGCCAACTCTACCACCTGCAGGGCATACTTAGCGACTGCAAGATTGTCGGCATGTTGCTGCATCTGCAGTCCCAACCGGTAGAATAAATGATGACCAATAGCCTACACAACATTTAAAATATTAATTACATAATGCTATATCACAGTTATAAGTATGGGTTCCAATAAAAACATACCAGTGCCTTGTGCCTCCCGGCGTATGGTATGAACCAACCGCCAGCTTGATGAATGGGGTTCCCGATCATCAGTCAGGTGTGATGGCGGTACCATGACGTATACATCTCAATAGTCGCCGCCTGGATATGTGAAGGTGGTTGTGGAATCAGGTCCTCTCGCTACTCCCAAGTATAGACCTGCGCCTCTAGCTATGCTACAAATGCGTCATCCACCCTCGAACGATCATCCCACTGATAATGTGTAGCCTCCTATATAGGCTCCCTCGGTATAGTCTGCAGATGGTCAAACTGGCAAAGTACCCGCTTTGTGGCATGATGCTCCACAATATCGAGGCACATCAGTGGGATGGAAGTGCTCCAAATCAGTCGGCCAATCGAGCAATAATCGGGCAAGCCAGCTATCAACTCGTCGTTGTATGATGTCCAGATGAACTATCAAATAATAACATAAAAGTAAGTATGCGCAACACAAGTGAATTTATAACAAGTAAGTTTAGGTACATATTTATCTGTGCGGCCTCTAGCATATCCAGCACATCCATGACAAGGGGAGATTATGAAGAGCATCAATGGCTCGGTAGTTTCCATGCCGGAGAACCCACCTCCTAGCTAGAGGGAGTAACGGAGGTGCTACATCCGAAGGTAATGGTGGTAGAGGTGGCTGCAACGGCAGGAACCGCTCCCAGGTCCAAAACTAACATACAAGGTCGACGAAAAATTTAAGAGTCATTTTGACTGTATAGAATTGGAAGAAATGAAAAAAGTATTCGAATATGTTGTCACCTGTAGAAGCGGCAGAAAACCACATACGTCGCTCTGGGTGCCCATGCTATCCCGACACCTACTCCTCTACAGGTAAGCAAGAACAATAGCATCCCAGCTGTACTGGGGTAACTCATCTAGCTGCTGAAGATGATGTAGAAATCGCATACTCACTAGATTTTCCGAAGTGTTTGGGAACAAGACACTCCCAAAAAGAAGGAGCAGCGCCAACCTCGTGTACCAGTAAATATGTTGATCTTCTATCTCGCCGGTGATATCGGGGTGCAATACCTCTGAATGCTGTCTAATAGCTGTCACAGAAATAAGACTACCCCCTGAAGCTGCAGCCTCACCTCGTGGCCTGAAACCAGTGAACTGCTGCAACAAGTCCAAATATTGGGCATGCATCATAGATCTCATATACTGAGGCAGTGCAACAGCCAATCCATCAGCAGGCAGCCCACATAAAACCTGAACATCCTGAAGTGTGATGGTGGCCTCGCCAATAGGCAGGTGGAAAGTGTGTGTTTCCGGTCGCCACCGCTCTATCACTGTCGTGATCAGAGACCAATTGAGCCACATCCGCCCAATCTCAAAAATCCTATAGTAGCCTGTATCACGCAGGTGCTGGACTACGCGGGAATGGAAACCTCTCTCCCTGATAAAGTCCTACACATCGTCTACTCTCATGGCGCGGAGAATCTACTCCACTAGCTCTCCCTTTCATACGTAGGCGGACCTGCGATCGCCCAGTAACACTAATATCTCATCCGAGATAGGTCCAGGATGAACAGGCAACACGTCCATGTCGTCTACTGTAAATTAAACAATATTAATTGTGTGTTAGTTTTATTAATTAATAGTTAATTATTTAATTGGACAAAGTATATATCTATGGGTTCCAGGCTCGATATTTGAGGTCCAATAGCACCAAGCTATCCTAAATTCTTATGTGTGTCAATTTTAATATTTTTAGAATTTTATTTGTGTTATAATAATTAATATTTAATTATTTAATTGGACAGAGTATATATCTATGGGTTCCAGGCTCGATATTTGAGGTCCAATAGCACCAAGCTATCCTAAATTCTTATGTGTGTCAATTTTAATATTTTTAGAATTTTATTTGTGTTATAATAATTAATATTTAATTATTTAATTGGACAGAGTATATATCTATGGGTTCCAAGCTCGATATTTGAGGCCTAGTAACACCAAGCTATCCTGAATTCTTATGCATGTCAATTTCAATATTTTTAAAATTTTGTTTGTGTTATAATAATTAATATTTAATTATTTAATTGGACAGAGTATATATCTATGGGTTCCAGGCTTTATATTTGAGGCCCAGTAGCAACAAATTCAAAAATAGCCAGATTTACAACTGTTCGTTCAAAAATAGCCCAGTTTCAAAAGTAATCGAAATTTAGCCACTTTTCATGTAAAGATAAATCCGAGCGAAAACACTGTTCAAAACCCGAAAATACGCCAGTATATTATGCTGGAGTTTCAGCATAAGTATACTTGAACTCCAGCATATTATACTAGAGTTCCAAGATAAGATGCTGGAGCTCCAGCATAATATGATGGAGTTCCAACATAAGTACACTAGAACTCCAGCATAATATACTGGAGTTCCAGCAAGTATACCAGTCCAGCATAATATACTGGAGTTTGGAGCACCGATGCTCCAGTCTCCAGTATATTATACTAGAGCTAGTAAAGTATACCGGTCCAGCATAATATGCTGGAGTTCATACACAGGTGCACCGAACTCCAGTATATTATGCTGGATCAGTTTCTATTGCAGCAAAATAGTGGTTATTTTTCATTGACTTAGTAAACGTTGACTATTTTTGAATAACCAATCCGAAAACTGGCTATACCGTGCTATTTTTACACTATCCTGAATTCTTATGTGTGTCAGCTTCAATATTTTTAGAATTTTGTTAGTTTTATAAATTAAATAATTAATTTTTAATTGGACAGAGTATATATCTATGGGTTTCAGACTCGATATTTGAGGCCCAGTAGCACCAAGCTATCCTGAATTTATATGTGTGTCAATTTCAATATTTTTAGAAATTTGTTAGTTTTATAAATTAAATAATTAATTTTTAATTGGACAGAGTATATATCTATAACTTTTTTGCTCGATATTTTATTTGACAACATATATTAATTTGTTAGTTCTGTGTGTTTGTTTTATAAATTAAATAATAAATTTTTTGTAAAGTGTAATTGGATAGAGTTTGTAGTTAGTAGATACTTAAACTACAAAGATTCTACGCTAAAAAGCTCTATATTTTACTGCGCTAAAAGGCTCTATATTTTACTGCGCTAAAAGGCTCTATATTTTACTACGCTATAAGGCTCTATATTTTACTACGCTATAAGCAAATAAATAATCTAAACTAAATAAAACCAACAAACAAATTTTAATAACATAACATTCACGAAATTACATATAAAACAGTAAAAGAAATTTATGAACATTTTTATTAACAGGAAAAATTATTTCTCAACTTTTAACTATTTTTTTAAACACTAATAATTTAATACGGATAAAAATAACATACAAATTTAATCGCAAATAAAACACAAAACAATGTGGAAACACATTCAAGACAACTAAACATTATTATTATACGAGTTTCGACATAAACTAAATCGGAATACCTCGATTTATGTTTTTAGAAAAGTGAGAAAATTGAAATTTTAAGCCCGAAACGAGGAAACCACAAAATCGAAGGCTTGGGTTGTATGCGGAACCTACAATCTTCACTTTTTGTGTGACGGGTGGGGTCCNGTAGTATAATACTGCACTTTAGTAAAACAAAGTATTATACTGCGCTTTACTCTAACGGCTAAAATTCCGTTAAAGTAAAGCGGAGTGTTATACTGCGTTTTAGGTAGAAAAGTAACTTTTTCTTAAAACAGTAGAAACGTATTTTGAGTCCCAAAAGTCATTATTTAGATTTCGGACTCTCCAATTGAGTGGTAGCTCATAGATAGAACAATGAAATCGACTAAAAAATTACCACCAAGCTCCACCCTAAATCAAAGATCTCGAGTTCAAACTTTAAGAAATAGAAAAAATTCTGATAAAAAGTGTTTCCCCTTTAATGAGCCTTACATAATGTAAACCGAATTAATCGAGACCTCACAATAGAGACAATAGGTGAGAAACGAAAAAAGAAATATCGACTAGAACAATTAACTTGTCGCTCATTCATAGAGATGTTGTCTATTTCTTTGGTAGTAGAAAAAATTGGTTTTGGACATAAATACAATTCAGAGTTGTTTTTAAACTTTTGTGAGTGAGCTAAAGTGTAAATTTGAAAAATAAAAATTTGGAAATTTTAAATTTTTAAAAAATTACGAAATTCAATTTCAAGTAAAATTTAAAAAATTTATGGCCAAATACTGATTTCGAAAAAAGTGAAAAACATTGCCAAAAAAGTGAAAATTTTCTTATTGCCAAACGGGCACTAAAGATATTTAGAAGGGAAGAAACAAATAAACAAGGATTTTAGTTTTTATCATTGATAGTGTAAAAAGTGTAGGTTGACAAGTTACATTATTAAATAACACATAGTTGACATTTAAGTGACTTGATTCTGTAAATATTATTTATGTTTAGAACAAACTCATAAGAAAATGATCATGTTTGATAGCTGCTTTTGCATATCGTCTTGATAAGTTTACATGTAGCACTACAATTTAACAAGAAATAAACTATAATTATCCAGAATACAAGGAATAAGTAGACTTCTATGAACATAGTTTGCTCGCAAATTCAAGAATTCGAGCATAATCCTAAGGCATGTACTAACACGAGAATCTCATCAATGTCAATTGACAAATGACAACCTTCATATAGACAGAAAGGTCTGAGAAGAGTTTAAGGATATCTGCAATCATGTTACTATAAATTGCTGATTTTCCTAATACCATCTTCTTTGCTTCTGCTGATTTTCCAAATAGACTACCTTAATGGTATCTGACATTTGGGAGGATATTCTAGTTCCTCCTTTTCCCAATTTAGTTTTGAAGCAATGTTTTCTTGGCTCGGAGAGTACTCCTGCAAAAAAATATATATATCCATAAGGAGTTGAAAACAACAAATACGCGGCAGTCCCAAACAAGCTGGTCAGCGTAACATAATATTTACCTCGAGTTTATTCATAAGTTCCTTGGCAGTAGGGGCAGATACAAAAATTTGGCGCGCGTTAGGACAGACGAAACCTTCCTCCACAGCTTTGTCAATGAATGTCAAAAGGGAATTGTAGTAACCATCAACATTCAATAGTCCTACTGGTTTATCATGGATTCCAAGTTGAGCCCAAGCTATAACTTCAAGAAGTTCTTCTAGAGTTCCATAGCCACCTTAATCAATGCAATATATTTCATCAATTTAGGCTAAGTAAAAATATTAGCACACAATGGTACAACTTCTAACCTTCAAAGAAACACTAAGACAACCTACTTTTACTGTTTCAATTTGAAGGTAAGAACCACGAGTTCTCTTTGGAAAAAGCATTCAGTTAAAACTACAGTACCACCAGAGACAGAGCCAGATATAAAGTTTATGGATCCTGAATTAACCATCGAACCCATAACTGGTTTAGTTTTTGGGTTCATGATTAAATAGTTATACACATCTAATGGATTTTTAATACAAATACAAGGTCTAAACAAAAGCTACTGAGTTCATCCGAACCCATAACTCATACGGTAGCTCCGGCCCTGAGTACCACACTTCAAAGGACCCAATTTAGGACTTCAAAGTAACATCAATTCAGTTAATGCTTGTATTTATGGGTCTAACTCATATACACTGATGTTGTCAATTTTTACGCTATCACTATAATTTAACTTATTATAGTAAGTCAAAGAAAAAAAGAAAAGATAAGGGTGAAAAATGGGCAAGAATCTTGGAAGGGAGAGTGAGAACAAACCAGGTAAAGCAATAAAAGCATCAGAATGTTTGGCCATCTCTGCTTTCCTCTGGTGCATATCTGCAACTGCTTTCACCTCTCCCACTGTTTCACCAGTTATCTGCATGCCGTACACCACTATTATTAGTCTTTGTATAACAGAAAGAATCAAGTCAATGCAAAAAATACCCACACACCAAGTCAATCCAAACCACTAAAAACTTAGCTTCTCCACACATAAAGTGAATATCTCAATAAAGGATTGGTAGGGGTCTCTTCTTTGATACAGGGGATGGGGCAAACACATAAAAAGGCAGTCTGTGTACTAAGCTCCCGTTATACGCGGGATTCGAGAAAGGACTGGATCAGAAGGGTCTAGCATACGCAGCTTTATACTGTATTTCTGCAAGAGACTGTTTTCACGGGGTCACCCGCAACCTCCTAATACATAGGAGTAACTTTACCAGTTACGCCGATACCCCTTCAAGGTCAAGCACATTGTCATAGCAAAATTTAAACATAATGTAACAATAGTAGGACAAAATTGAAAGAATATAAAATGGAACAAAACGACAAAAGGAAGGAGAACAAAAAGGAGATGATGAGGTTTCTAACTTCTAAACCCTTGCTTTCATCTTGGGGAACTGATGTGAGGGCAAAGGCAATAAATGTCACTCCCTATATTTGATTCACTGTTTAATTTGAATATTCATTTGATTGGAAAACTTAAAAATGGACCCATGACATGCTAAATCCACCAATATTGTGGGGGATTAGTGGACTCAACATTGCATGTGGTCAAGCTGTATAGTAGTAAAATTTCAATGACTGAACAAGCCTTGTACTTTTTTTCTATGAGTTCGAGCTCTATGTACTAACAATTAATTACATGTAAATTTACATGATACACATTAATTGGTAACCTAAAAACGATAGTAATTGAGCAATTATAATAGGTTAAACTACATTATTCGTGTAAAAAATAAATCTTTACACAGTTAATGTATACCACTTAAATCCTTTAACTGATAGAGTACTTATTCTTTGATTCTTGTGAAATTTCGTGCAATTGTGAATTTTTGAACATATTTGGTATTTTACGACGTAGAAATACGAAGGGAAGCCTTGGAGCCACGGTTAAGTTGTCTTTATGTTACCTAGAGGTAACAGGTTCAAGCGTGGAATCAGCCATGGATACTTGCATCAGGGTAGGCTGCTTACATTACACCCCTTAGGATGCGGCCCTTCCCCAGATCCTGCGTGAACGCGAGATGCTTTGTGACCCGGACCGTTTTTTATGATGTAGAAATACATGTACAAGAACATAGTACCACTGATTTAGTTTTAGCTCCTTTTTTCTTTTCATTTTGATTTGATGTCTAAAGTAGCAAGAGGACCCTATCTTCTTACAATGAGGGGGACCAGAAGAAAGGAAAAGGAAAGGAAAGGGGACAAAGAAAGGGATGGATTTTTTAAAGAGAAAAATGGCAAGCAAAATAAACCACAAACTAGCAAACTAAATACTAACAAAAATCCCATCTTGCACTTTAGGGATATGCCCATGCCGACAAGTGCAAAAACCATGTCCAAAGATAATAAAGGTGAGGTAGAAATTCAAGTAATAGCCTACCACACGATTGAAACACAACTACAATTCAAAAGAATAAGAACCAAATATACTAAATATCTTTGTTTCTCCTTTCCCTCCTCTCTTATGCAAGCAGAAGTTAAGAAAAAAACTTACAAAATGCTATAATATGACCAAAATAAAAACAAAAACATACCTCTCTAGGCATGAGAGTCCTTGGAATTACTCTGTAGACAAGAATATGATAAAAAAAGATAGTCAGGGACCCAAAGGTGTGATAAAAACTAACTATAGTTAACAGAGGTGATTAGTCCAATCAATGTCAAAACTAAAAGCAAGTGGTTCACATTTGTGCTTTCATGTTTAGGTGAAAAAGGAAATATATAAGTCAAAAGATTTAACTTATATACACTAATATGTAAAGATTTCATACGAGCAGTGTATTTTAACTGTTACAATAGATAATGACTTTTTTTTTAAGATTACGAATCTCACTCTTTTTATGAATAGTTGTTTGTACGTAGATGATCTAATAGTGTAAAAATGTGTACAAAGTTTAGCACTTGCAAAGGCATAACTCACCCAAGGACATGACGACCACCGTTGTAAACAGCTTGAGAGACCAAACCCATCAAACCAATGCTTCCTCCTCCATAAACTAGGTCTATGTTTCTAGATACCTTGTATACAAGCAAAATTAATAATGTCAGAAAGCTGAAGTGGACATCATACATAGTCCTTTACAGTTTTAACCTGGAAAGTTGAGGTGGGGGTGAGTAGTATATATAAAACTGGCCCTTCAATTCCAAAATATTACTTAATGACCAATGAAGGGTGCTTTGGCATAACTAGTAAAGTTGTTGTCATGTGACCAGAAGGTCACAGTTTTGAGATGTGGAAACAGCCTCTTGTAGAAATGTAGGGTAAGACTGCGTACTATAGACCCTTGTGGTCCAGCCCTTCCTCCGACCCCGCACATAGCAAGAGCTTAGTGCACAGGGGTATTTTTTTTACTTAATGACCACTACTTGCGTAACATCAAAGAAATTTTTCCAAGAATGCTCTTTTCAAGTACAGAGCCTTCAGAAATGAATTCATAAGAAAGTGAATCAAGACTCAAGGTTCCCATTTAGTCATGCAAGAAATTATCCCCTTAAGCTAAATTTACATGCATCATTATGTGGTGTGTGGGGGGGGGGGGGGATTGTGG